GCACAGGGGTTGCGATTATGTCTAAACGCCAAGGTGTTATTGGCCGACTGAGAAAAAAAAAAGGTGTTCGATGTCAAGGAATCTAGCGTTGATGTCTACCCACTATCCTCTCAATGAAAGCCACTCAGAACTCAGCGTATCTCGGACGTTACCGCAACTCCTGAGCGAGAAGCAAGACGACTTGCTCTCTGAATTTCCTCTTGAAATGTGTGTTTCTCATTATTAAGAACAAATCACACCTCGCCGGCCGTTTTATCCTTTTATCATCTTTTGTGTGTTGTCATTGTAAGGCGGCAATAAACTATCTTTGTAGAAGGGCAATGTTAATGCCCTTCTATAAGCGATCATTAACATTGCCTTATGGCAATGTGTATGATCGCTATTTTGCCTGAGGATTGGTTCAACAGGCCAGTCGTACCCAGCTGAACTATAGTGACCGAATAATGTCAAAACAATTTTGGTAATTCTCGTGACGTTATTGAATTTTTAGTTTTTATCCTTGCTCATCGCAGTTTCCAACAGCAGGGCTCTTTTAGCAACGCTGAAAACGTGACGACATATGTTTTATTTCGACAGTAGAGCTTTTTTTTTCTGAACGAGTTTGCAAGGCCTCTGATGGTCAGAAATAAATGTTCTGGAAGCTTACCGAAGGCAAGACTATATATACATGATTTGTTGTTGTTGTTTTTAGCCTGCCTGCTTGACATGAAACGTTTACAACTTGTGACGTCATGCAACCGGTAAGTGCAGGAAAATCTGAGCGTCGGTTTGGCATATTACCTTCAGCTTTATTAAGAGCCATTTTGAATTTAGATATTAGCATGCTGAGAAGACTAAAACACCGAACATTTTGAAACTTTAGTTAGTTTTGGTGGCCCGGAAAATCCTAAACGCAGACCATTCCAGGAGGACAACCGGACTTTCCGTCTGAGCAGCATGTTCCTTTGGTGTACGGACTGCACCTGTACGCTCCGTACTGGTTCACGCAGCAGCTGTTGCTGCCGCAAATCATCCAGGTGGGACAGGGAACGCTCGGCGCTGAAACGACATAAACGGGAAAAACCGACGTTTAGGCCCTGGAAAGATTCAGCATTAGCCGAGCTGTCTGACTGAGACAAAGATTCGACAAAACTTCGACAGGCGTCCATGCGCAACTTACGACGGCAACTTTAAATCCGGTAGCGCGTCTTGAAACCACCGAATCACCACATCAAAATGAGCATGCGCATGCGAGGAATAGTCAGGTAGACCATACAACGTTCTCCCCTTTTTATCGTGCGCATGCGCAGGTTTCGGAACGAGGCGCACAAAGGTTGCGCCGCAGTCTTCACAATGCCTCGCAAGAGGAAGGAGCGAACTTAGGGGGAGATGGCTGAATGAGCAGCGATGTTTTGGGTATGATCGTGGTTGGGGTGCCAAGGGGACGCCGGAGGGCGTTGGGTTAGGGATAAAGAAGCAACGCGGGCTCGGTTTTATTGAGGGTAACTTGCGTTAACTGGTCCATTATACAGGTGATGCCCAAAGGCTAAAAATACTACGTTGCGCTTTAGTTTTGGAGTTTTAACCATTGTTCTAATTGCCTTTTCAAAATAAAGTGACACCGTTTGGCAACCCTCCCTCTATGTTTCGGTTTCGGAACAGCTGCTATATTCGAGACTTTGGTGAGTTACTCGACAGAGGGGGCACTATACGTATTTTCACAAATGGTCTACAGGGTTGGTGCTCTTTAGTTGTATAAAAGGTCGTTGCCATTGGATGTCTAAGTCCGTTCTGCCTTTTATTATTGGAACAGCTAGTGTCACCCACCAGCCGACGAGAATGTTGAAGAAGTAGTATAAAACTTCATTGTCGGACAAATCAAGAAGCGAGAAGAAGGAACAAAACAAACCAAGCCCTGCATTTCTTAAATTGTTGGCAAATTAAATCTAAGACCCGTAGAAACTTCTTTCTCCGTCAGTTGAAACAGAGTTCTCGAGTAGATAAAAAACAGGAGCTGCTGAAAGATGTTTCGTTATGATCGAGCAGCCACCGAAACTGCCTTAGCCTTCGATCGTGGAAGTCTTAAAACAAAGAATATAATCAACACGTAGGAGAAGCGTCTGCTCCAACCGAAGTGTCATAGAGAGCGGCGTTGTCACCAACGAAATAAAGCTGAAACCAATCATTAAAAAAAAAAAAAAGATCTGTGTAAGGTCTGGCGTCATTGTTTATCGCTTTCTCAACATGCTCTTGGTGATATGTGTTACCGGGCGCCACCACCTTCGCATTCGTGACTAATGTATCCCGTAGAGAGATTGCCCTTTGCGGGAAGCTGGCCGGGGTGTCATGTTTCCTCTCCGTGCTACGATGGATGGACGAGCAGCATTGCATACCGGAGTGCCAAGGTTGTATGAGAGTTGCGCAAGACCTGACATCAGAACCGACGAATGAAGGCCTCTGAAGGAGTGATGTCAGTTTCGGCAAATAGCAAAGCCTCTGAAGAAATGATGTCAGTTTTGACGAATGGCGCTGGAGATAAGTGATGTCAGTGTTCGCAGCTTTTTTCTATGTTCTTCCATTTGGGGGGATTGTAAGCAGCGCGTATGCGCTGGTATTTAAGCGTGGTCCTGGCTGCAAAAGGGGTTCTTGTCTGAAGCTAGGTGGGCAGGCCTCACCTCGAGATAGCCGCGGAGAGGGTCCGCGGGGCGGCCAAAAATTTCCCTTCCTGCTTCGTAAAAGTTGCTGTATCGTGATTCCCTGTATATAAAGTATACCTACCCCATACCAAACCTCACCGAGCCTTCTCGCTGATGACATCGGGAGTCCGTGGCGCATCGAGAAGAACAAAGAACCATCTACTTGAGTTATTTGTTGTTGTTTTTTTTAGTACACATAGCAGACCACGGCGAACAACCGGGAAAAAAATGCGATGTGCAAATTACCGCGCTCATACAGTTTTTTTATAGTTTTATTTGGAGTTTCGATTGCCATTTGCTGGATTTTTCTCCGTGATTGGCTGCCTCCATGTTCCGCTAAAACTAACGCACAAACTTTTCTTTATACATAGTACAGTTTAATTAAGCCTTTCTCCTCTTTTTTTCACCATTGTTGCATACAACAACGGTGCCGATAGGGCAGTTGGGTTCGAGAAGGAATTTGACTGCATTCCGACGCAGCGATTACATCGAGTTCCAGCCTAACGCTGACGCGCCGCTCGTGTCCAAGCCGTAGAGGCGTTCGGTCGTGTATGACGGCATCGTACTTTGAGTGGATAGGTCTTATCACGCTGGGGGTGGTGCTGCCTAGGTTACCAGACGTTAAGCTGAACCACATGTAGCCCGCATCCCTATCTAGGCCTAGCTCAGGCAGGCCGTAAGTGCCGCCGGATCGGGGCGCGCTACCTGCATGGTTACGAGGAGAGGCTTGGGGGAGGCCGCATGTCTCTGTGGACGGCTCTTCTTCGCCCTTCTCGGGTGTTACGGGGGCCCCCCGTGACAAAGTGTTGTATGAGGGGGAGGGGAGAGAGGAGGCCCCAGCAAATTGGAAGATCCCGGGGGGGGGGGGGGGGGGGGGGCGGGCCTCATGGGCCTCCCCCCCGGCTAAGTGCCTGCCTCGGAGTCAAGTTAAAGTCATTGTAGGGGTTTCCAGTTTGGACCATATTTTTTGTTCTTCTTAGGGGAAGCAGGGGCAGTGTAACAGTGAAAGCTTTGGACCCGTGTATTTCAATAAAAGAGTGGACAATGCTTCTATGCTTCCCAGCGATACGTCCAGCAGCCTTTAGTTATTTCAAAGTAGCGACTATTATTGAGGTAACAGCTCCTCGGAACAATTGTCGTGTGATGGTGAGTATTACCAGTGTCAAGTGAGCAAGTGCCAGATGCAGCTGCAGAAATATAGTTGCAATACAGGTGCGGTCTGATCAATGTAGTGTTCGTTTGTGTCCGGAATTTATTTTATTTTTTAACTTTGATACGTTGTTAACGCCGTAAAATTAAGCTCAGATTATCAAAGAGTTAGGAATATATAAAAAATTAACTTCAATGCACCTCGAATTTCAGTAAAAAAAAAAATAATAAACTCCGAAAAGCACTGCCTCCGAACTTTTCGAGAAATAAACTCCACAAACACGGAGTCCTTGTAATACCGAAGTTTTAAAGCTTCAGCCGGAACCCTCTTGGCACAGCTTGTATCCCAACCCTCTATGCAAAAAGCACTTAGATGCTTTATTAACCTCGACACCTTCGTTCTGATCGCACCACGCTCTGTATAGGTGCATTATTGTGCGGTTTTTAAGAAATCATTTCGACTGAGAACCAAAACATCTGCTTAGAAATGCTCAGTGTTTTGATTCATCTCCGTTGCTAAAAAAACACCCTCCTTCGTTTTGCTTGCGTGTTCTAAACTCTAGTCAAAGGTTAAGGGAGTACACTTCCCGGCAGAGCACGCAGGTGAACAATGCCAGTATCCCACCGAATGGCCAAGCTCGGAATACGATAAGACAAAAATGAAAAGAATGCTACGTCTGCTGGGGCAATAGACCATTTTTAAAAGTCCATCACGCATGCAGCCGCTACTGTGTGCTTGGACTAGGTGGCGCAAGCTACCGTCCGTCACAAAGGGTATATCCATTAACATATATCCATCCATCCATGGACACGTATCGTGTGATTGGATCCGAGTACGTGATTAAGTACGTGATCAAGCAATGGCGGACAGACGCTGGCGCGGACTTTTGGAAAGGGTCTAATAGCACGACGTTTCATTTGCTCATTTTCCCTGCACACATCGTATTTTTTTAATGTCTAATCTTAATATAAGCTTCGTCATTCACTGTCATTTTTCATTTCTTCGCCGTGATGGGCTATCTCCGTGTTTGGCTGCCTCCATGTTCAGAAGGAAAGTGAACTCACAGACATTATAAGGTGTACTTCTTGTCAAAGTGTGTTTCATTCAGCGATCAAAGCGCGTTTTTTTTTTTTTTTAGATTCCTTCGTTATAATGAACTGCATACGTCAACTCACTGCTGTCGATGTTAGGCACGGGATTTCTGAAGCTTCGGTACTTGGCAGCCATTGGCTTGACAGTCCCGTCCTTGGTGCAGGTCTTCTCTACGTCGTTGCACTTGAAACCCCGAGGACAGCAACGCTCATTGTCGCAGCACTGGGCACGCTCGTAAGGGCAGCAGGCGTAGCGGCCGTCCTCATTCTGGCAGCAGCTGGAGCCGTAGTGACAGCTCGTTCCGTCCGGGCAGTTCTCGAACTTAACTGCACGTGAAGAAACGATGCGTGGTCTGTATTACTATGATATGGTGATTGGAACGCGTCCTCGACTGTTGTGTTTAGCGTCCCATACAGCTCACATATAGGGTGTGGTCCCAAAATAGCAGTAAATTGCGTCATAGGAGCCGCGGCGTGTCATTTTGTCGGATGTCACGATTCTGGCGGTTGGTCGGAGAAGTTCCAGCAGAGCGAATGCGCGAGTGTCGCCGGCGTCGCCGCATTCCAACTCATGGATGCGGAAGCTAAACCGTGGACTGTCAGGCTGCTGGAGAACTAACTGCAGTAGCACAGGCGGCTCCCACATCCACCTTCGCTCCTCTATACCACCCTTCAGGATCGAGCAGGAAGAAGCATGACACTCTGACGTCATCAGGCGGAAATTAGGGGATCACAGTTTAGGACGTGGCAAATACGCTAGTTGGAAACGCGATGGTTGAAAGTTGTGGCGCCATCTTTGGAATGACGTCGCGCGTGGACGACGGACTCTGTTGTCTGCTTGCTGCGCCTATCGCAAGATGGCACCACAGCTTACAATTCTCTATAGTTCGGTAGTCTGCGAACACGCCGCCGTTGACCCTGGCAAGTTTGTTGGTCTCATTTTCTTCCGAGGACAGAGCGCCTTAAGATGTCATAAGGTAAAAAAAAAAAAAAAATTAATGCGCAATTTATGAAAGTTTGAGCTTCCTCTGTGCAGTCGCCGATTATTCCTGTTTGTTTACAGCGCTTGAATCCATTGTGGCCGCCCTATTGGCGAGGAGACCAAACTATAGGGGGCGCTATGCCCAGCCAGCGTCAAAACACAAACCAATCATCTTTGTTGTTGATGTATCCATCGGTGTAGTTCTCAATTTAGCAACAAGGAACGCCGACGGTTTCATATCCTTCCCAGAAGATAGGGGTAGGAAAATATCCGGTATGCACTTCTTATGTTTTGTCTATTTTGAATAGAAATGTAAGCTCGTGACAATTTTTAAAATAGTTCTGATGAGCAATTAAACGACGTTCGCCCGGAATTCTTCGTACTTTTCTCTTACTGATGGGGGCTTCTTCTCTCCGATGTTATTTTCCATTTGTATTCCTACAGATCTTTCATGCCATTGCGTTGACAGATTATGTCGATTGCCATATTATGTCAATATTTTCGTAAGAGCAACGAATAATTGAAGTAATTTCTTACATTTCAATTAAAGTTAAAATTACCATTGAAAAAACTTCACGTAGCAATCACGCAGTGGCCTAAAAAACAATATCGACTTCAAGTAATGTGTTAAGTGTAACAAAATCCAGTCGAATTCCACGAGTCGAACCTTCGCAACGCCTCCTAGATAGCTTTCAAAACCTGCGTGTCACGTGACATGACGTCACGTGACGCGCAAGCTTGAAAGCTGTCTAGGAGATGTTGACATTTGCCCGGCAACCATTCACGCCCTAAGGCAACCGACATTTCCGGTCCGTACTCCATTCCCTCCCCTTCCCCCCCCCCCCCCCCCCCCCTTTTCATCAACCCCAGCCACTTGTTAGCTACCTCCAAGATAACAAAACCTTAGCGCTGAATTTTCAGCGTAACTGTCCAAGACTCCTTTCAGTTACGCCGGGACTCGTGTTTTCAGTGATTGGACACGAGTAATTTCGACCGACCGCTGATGGGGCACTCGCACTGGAACCCAGGTGGGCCTTCTTTAGGTGATGCCGAGAATTCAGGCACTAGTGATTTGCTATCTACGAGGTGCTGCCTCTACCGGCATCCGACAAACCCCGCGGATGCGTTTGGAGAAAAGGCGGATGTCAGTCCGATGCATTCCTCTTAAGAAAGCTGGAATGTCAACTTTTCCGCAAAATACTTGAAAGAACCAATCACTGCAATCTACGGAGGGAGCTTGCCCAAGGACAATGCCAAAAATATGTTTAAAGATGAAAAACAAAACACTGTCCGCAATGAAACGTTGTGCATGGTGATGTTTTTTTTTATGTTTTCTGGTTTTATCAAGTGCTTTGTTGGAACGTGGATTCTCCAGATTTCTGAAAGGCCGACGACCAGACTCGAGATTCTGCAAGGCGGAAGATCCTCCTCACCATAGGGGAGGAGGACACGGGCAATGGTGGACAAGGTAAAAGGGGAAAGGAGGAAGCGGGAGAAAAGTGGAAAGCGCGAACTGGTCGTTGGTCTTTAAGTCGAGGTCACACTGCTTGTACAACATACAAAAGACAGTCTGCATACAGAATCAAACGCGAGTCACCGCGGGATCTCCACGCTTCGAATGCCGCATCGCGACGAGTTCAAGGAGAAACTTGGCACGCGGCATTCGAACCACGGATGTTGTGGTGACTCTTGTTTGCAGACCCTCTTTTGTATGACGTATGTGCAGTGTAACTCCGGCTTTAGAGTTTAGAAGGGGCCATTACGCAGTCATGGACCAGAAAACAAGCAGGCTGCTCGCCCAGCATGATCACCGGACTAATCGGTGTTATGGCGAATTCCATAGGTCGTTTTGGAGCGCGCCGAGATCGACATTTTCTGGAACGCACCTATTTCACCTGATGATCGGGATCGAGACGGACGTGTTCCAATCATCGTTTTGGATCAGCTCCCACTCCAGATATCGATCCGGATCCGAGAAAAGTCGCTCCTCCGATTTCGGCGTATTCGACCGGAAGCCAGCCTGGCCAGAGCTCGGCGCGCACACGTGACTTCCTTTCTTGCCGGGCATCTCGTCTTTGAAGAATTCGCAATGAGCGCTCGCGAAGTGCCGCCCGATTTACTGCTGCTTCTGCTTGATTACTCATCGTCGTCAACTTGCTCGAGCAGCTCCTCCAGCATCAGCGACTCGAGTAACAGCGACGACGATCAAGATTGCTTGCATGTCCCGCATAAATTCGACTGCTTTTTCGTACCACTCCTCTGGGATCCGCCGATCCCAGAGGAGTGGTCATGTTCCAGTGGGTATCAGGAGGCGGAGCGACTCCGTTCGAATCGCGTGCTCTATCTCGGATCTGGTCTGCCGATCCTGGCGCGCTCCAAAACGACCATTGGAATTCACCATTAGTTTGTTTCGTACTTGTCTTTGCCCTGTTGGACTTGGCTGGCATCCCAAGGCTCTTCAGAATTGCCGGGTCCTTCTGGAGCTCGCTGAGGCCCCGAACGTGGGGGGTGTAAGAATCCTTGATCCTGCAGATGGTGTACTTGAAGTCGCAAATATAACCCGCGTCGCAGCAGAAGGTACCGCTTGAGCAACAAGTGCCGTTCGGGTACTCGCAGCAGTAGTAATATTCGGGAATTTCATTAGTTCTGCAGCATTTGGTGCCCCTCTCGCAGTACTGGTGATTATGGCACATTACTGTGCGGGCTGCAATGAAAAGAAGAAGTAAAAACGAACATAAATCCTCTCTCTCACTTTGAATATCTCTTTCTCTACCTCTCTTCGTTATTTGTCTTTTATGAAATATAACTTAGGGTTCCCCGGTGTATTAGAGAGCCTAGAATTAAGAGGGGGAGCAACTTGCACCATAGGGGAGAGCTTGCAATTTAAATTGCGGACACCTCGGTGCAAACTCAAGGTTCATGCGCATGCGTGTGTTGGCGTGTGGAGAGTATAATAACAGTCGAAGAAGCTGATCCAAGCCAGGAGACGCGACGCTTGCGGACGATTGACGCTTGCACCTACTCCACGCAGCTCGCATTACCAAGGCAGCCCACAAGCCACGTGATCCTGAGCGAGAAGTTGGAAGCGCTCCCATGTGAAGACGTCACGCAACATCGAGGGACGTGGTCACCTGACCTTAAGTCACCTCGCACGACGGTACGTGACGTGGGCACGTGACGTGTCGTCACTGTGTCAAGTCGTGATGCCAGATGACGTCGCTTCGGGTGTATACACCAATTCAATTTTCGCGCGCTCAATACTTCGCGACCTGAATTGGTGTATAATTGTACGCCCGCACATCTTTGGCACTAAGTTTAGCGGGGAAGCGCACGGACTAACGGACGGAAGCACAAATTTCTGGGAGTAGGGGCTCCGCTAAAAAGCGTTCCATGCTGCAAAAGTAACTTAATTCGAAGTTTTAGCCGTGAAGCACCCAAAATATTCTACTTTTTTTAAATCCGACACCGAAAGGCGCCATCGTAATCAGCGGAGCCGCAGATGCCCGTTTTAAACGGTACAAGAGTCCCCATTCCTTATTGTCCCGCGCCGATGCCTTCAATACAAGAAAGGCTCAATTCCAATAGCCCAGGTCTCCTCGCGCGGCAGTGCTCCCAGCGTTTCATGCGGGACTACCCATCCTCCGATCGGCGCCTCGTTGTGGTAACCTAATACCTTACCAGGGAATATACCTCACTCCGCGAAAATCCAATGGACGTGGCGCCATCAGGCCTTACGCAGTTAGAAGCGCGAGACGCGCTCAACCTCGGGTTTTCCTTTTTAAGTTCTGAGGGGTGGCTGCCTCTATCTATCTTCGTGTAAACCCCTCGAGTCAGCGGAGACAGCCGCCTCCGGTCTTGGCGAATATGGTGCCTCGGTGCACCGGCCACAACACTCTCCCTCAGCGCAGCCCGAAAGCGTGCCAACGTAGACATGACCGACACGAATGCGTTCTCTTTGGCACGGGGTGCCCATACCGCTGAAGAGGACTTGGTGTGTAGGTGCGCTGTCTAATGAAAATGAGCGGAGTAGAATGTATTCCCCCATAGCCACTGACAGAGTGAGAACGGCTGGGCGTGCCTTTTGAAAGCCCGGCCTCCAGCAGCACGCAATCTATGACTTGCACCGCGCTTTGGCTGCGCGCTTGCGCTCAAAGGTGGACGAGACGCAATCCTATTTA